AATTAATTTATATAAAATAGAACAATTTTTGTTGGACCCAACCATTACTTTATTAACAATAATTGTTATTTTTATTTTTATACGTGTTCAATAAACACTGTTCATCATGCTAATTACGAATTTGAATTATGCACGAGCGAAGATTGAAATTTGTCAAAATTAAATTTTTACAAAACATCGCTGATAATACCTCAATTATCTGTTAAAATACTAGTTTTGAAACAAGCTATTTTTGCTAAATTTTTAGAAAAAACGAATTTGAGGTTAAGTTGGCTTGAACATAATTTTCCCTAGGAATTTTTATTTGATATCATATTTTGAAAGTTTTCATAAAACACAAAAGTTATAGGGTTAATTATGGTTCATAAAAATTAATCCATAAAATAAGGGCAAATGATTACAGGGTAGGATCTTAAATTTAAAAAATATTGTTATTAATTTAATTTTTTCCCTCGCCCTTATACTGATTAAGGTAGCAGTTGCGGCTCGTAGGTTCTGGAAGAGGGTGGGCACAAAAAACTTACCTACTAATTTTTGTACAAGTCCATGCGAGAAACTGGTCAGGTTCCAGCACTTGAGAAGGCACGACGCAGTGCGAGCTCTTTTTTAAAAAGTGCAAACCAATTAAAATGAAACAAACAATTTTCATAAAGTGCAAACTAAAATAGTGTAACGGTCAATAAAGAGTGAAGTGTTAAGTGATATGAATAAATTAAGTAACAAGTTTCAGCTTCTGGTTCTATATGTATACCACCTGTCATTGGACGCTTTTCACTATTGTTTAAACTTGTTTTGTTTTAACTTGTTTTGTTATTTTAATTATGTATACCTACTTGTAAATGTTTTATTTGTATTTTATTCACTGCTTTTTAAAATATGTTAAAACTTGTATATAATTTTGTTTGTACAACACGTAATCAACTTTTATTTCTTAAATACTTATGTACCTTTTTATGACTGCCTAAACATGTATTTATATGTATGATGCTAATAAACTATTATTATTATTACAATTATTAAACAAACTAAAGAGGTCAAACAAGAGGGGAAGTGGTCATCCGCAAAAAATTGATAAGTATCCTTAAGCATATGCATCCTAACACATAATTTGCAAATTAAACACGACAGATATCTTTAAAATCCTAAGAAAGGCACACTGCTTAAACTCTAGAAAAAAAAACAATAAAAATCAGTATCAATAGAAACATTAGAAAGACAATACTAACCAAACACCATAAAATAATAAAGAAAAAAGACAAATCTTCCCAATCGAACTACCGAGGTGATACACCAAAGCTGTGTAGGACAATAAATCTGACAACAACAAATGCGTAAGGCAAACCCAAACGAGACCAATAACAAACATTAGACACACAGAATAAACTAACCCAGTAATCATCCAACATAGTAAAAAAACATAATAATCAAACTCTATTGGATTTGTAAACATTAGATAACAGAATAATTGCGCTTGCCATTTGTTTAACTAATAAATAAATACAATACTTAATTTTGGAATTTAAGAAAAAAAAGTCAAAACTACAACAAAACGTGCTTGGGCAACACAAATACTAAAAAAAAAATTGTTGGAAATTTCGCACTAGTGCGGCAATAAACAATTTAAAAAAGAAACATCAAAAGCTACAAGTTACATATCCAGCTACTGAACTATCTATTGATGGTTTTCGGCCTCAAGACTGAAAACACATGTGCAGGAACAATCCTACTTGGACACGAACAATAACGACAAAACGTAGACCAAGACGTAGGCTCCTGCAGCAAAATAACAACTCCCGAACTCCATACAGTAATCTCAAATGTTTGGAGTAATACTAACTGCCTGGTCTAGGGGGGTTCCGCGTCGTACTTAGTTTTAAGTCAGCGTCCCCCAAACACCAAATTGTCTATCCCTCCCGTCCTACCTCCTTCATTACCCTACTGGACGTATAGCATCGGCTCGGCGAACCTGGGAATGGCTACTAAAACTATTGACATTTCGCTCTCGAGCCCTAATTAGGGGACAGTACGGGACGCAATGGACATTCGCAACCAGCAAACACGGCGCAAGGAAACAGAGGCCTATGCGGGGCCCGGGAGTGATGAGGCAATGGGGCCGGTTTTACGTCTCTTATACTCATACTAATGCTCATACAGTCCATGCGAGAAACTGAATTTTCGAGTTTCTTAGCCCTCTCTGCGATGTGTTTTAAATCATCTAACCCATGTTTATTCCACGCACGTAATTTATTTTTTATAAACATTAAACAATAAGCTTATTTTTATAAACATACTTAAATTGTTATTAGTTTTAAACGCGATATTGGCATTAATGTTTTTGAAAAATGTGGAAACATGTCTCATGTTGGAATAACAAAGATAAGTCTAATAGACATATGAAGTCAGGCGTATACCAATTAACGTGTACAGATTGTCCTAAAACTTATATAGGACAAACCGGCCGTAGTTTTATTACTAGGATTAAAGAACATCGGAGATCATATATTAATCTAAAAGTCGATTCAGCCTATGCATCACATCTTATTACAGAAAACCATACTTTCAATAACAACTTTAAAATATTACATTTGGAAAACAAAGGTATTAAATTAAATCTAATCGAATCTCTAGAAATTAATAAACTTAAAAATACTAAGAATATTCTCAATGATCAAATAGAAACTAATAATTCACCACTTTTAAATCTATTTTAATTTTATTAACATATAACAATAGCATTATATAAAATATTCACACTTTTATAATATTTAATAAATAAAATACAAACTATAAACAGATTAGGTTTTTCCCATTAGGTATTTCTGAATGTGATCCTAGTTTATTATTATGTAACACAGGTAGATGTTAAATGATTATCCTTACCTAGAATACCAATATTTTTTGTTATATATATTTTGTATTATTTTTAGTTTTAATACATTCTGAAGAAGCTACTGTGTAGCGAAACAGCTATCAAAATTTAATAAATTTCGTGAAACTTAACAACAAAATTGTTTTTATATCTACATAGTTAATATGGAGTTTCATCAAGTAAAGGTCGAAACAATTAATAATTTTTAAAATTATTATTGTTGTTTAAATAAATGCCTGATTTTATTAATTATAAACGTACATTTATAAATTAATTAACCCAGTTGGAATTTTCGAGGCCAGCTGCGGTCTACCATTAACAAAAGGGGTTTTGGGATTTCTCGTTAGTTTTTCTGGCAGGTATCGTCCATACCGTATACCATAAAATTTTTTATAATTATTTGTTAGAATTGGGTTACGAAAAAAACTTTTTCCCGTGCTGTATATAAATATCCACTGTTAATGCAAAATACAAATATTCTCTACATAAAAAACCAAATTAAGTGAGTAATGGGTCATTATACTATTAAGGCTCTCTGCCATTTGTCAGTTGTCCCTAACATTTCTTATTAAAAAAATAATAAATTGAGACAGCTAATATAGAACTAGATTCATAAATAGGAACTTAAAATAACAAAAATTAATAGAAAATGTTTCAATTAATATACAGTCACTCTATAACCCCAATGTCCCCATCATATTGCAATAGTGAAAACTTGAATATATTTCATAGGTTTTGTTTGAAACAGAATTATAAAACTATAATGAAATAACAAATAAGTAGCTTGTTGGTACTAATAAAAAATGTGATAAAATTTCTTTGAATAATTTTTTAAGCGTGACCAAACCTTGTCCTTATATTTAATGTCTACTTCGTGCTATGCACTAAGAGGATTTTGTAATATAACTAATTTAAATATTCACTTACTGATCAACTATGGACTTATTGTCTGGGGTACCTCGGCAGAAATAAATAGGGTTTTTTAATTGCAAAAGCGGGCGGTTAGAATTATGTTGAGTTTAAGGCAATAATACTATCTGCAAAAATTAATTTAATAAATTAAATATTTTAGGGTACCTAGTATATTTATCTACAACATACTACTTTATGCGAATAAACAGTAACCACAATTATGACACCAGAAATACGAATGTGTTAGAAGTATCATCCCACAAAACATAAAATTATGAAAGAAGTCAAAACTATTTGGCTATTAAATATTTTAACCATTTACCAGAAAATCTTGAAATAAAAAAATTAAAGTTATAATTAAAAATTTACTTCTCAATAAATTTTTTGAGGTTAGGTTTGTGGGTATTCGAACACTTAACGTCAAAAAATTTGTTAAAAGGACAAAACTACTTTGGATGACTTCTCAATAAAGTTTACTATTCTGCCATATTTTTATTTTATTTTTATATTTAATGTGGATTTATTTAATATTTGTACCTGGCACTTGCATCTGCTTGACATGTTCCATACAATGTATTTTTTCGAAGGAATAAAAACATTATGTTTATTATTATTATTATTATTATAATAATAAAAACAGCTTTATTATAAAATACACTGGAGTTTAGCATTACATATAAAATAACTCTGTAACCTATATAGTGTGGCACTAGATGGCGCCGCTGCAGGCAATGGTATCGCTATTGTTATTTTGCGCGTTACAAACAAGCAGCGTGTTTTTCAAGGTTATATTTCGTAACGGCATTTATTTGGAAAGTTTTGCAGTATTTATTATGTCACTTGGAAAATAGATTTTTTTATCGTGAAAAATGTCTCCTTCGTCACATGTCTTTTTTGTCACACTCCACTGCTATCACTACGACATTAAAACTTGGTATAAATAAGAGACTCTTTAAGCGAAACTTTACTGTTTAGAATTACCTTTAGTTGCCCAAATAATATTCACAATGGATATGAAAATGTAAAATATTTAGTTTTTGGAGGTGTATGGGGCTAAAAAGTATAATGACCCTAATACTTACATCAATAAATTTGGTTCCTTCCTCCATAATCCTTTGAAACCGTTTTGCAGTTCCATCAAGGCGAGCTTAGACGAGTGCAGTGACGTTTAATCTTGTTTACAAATGATGTTTGTTTCTTAGCCTACCAAGATCGTGCACTCGGGTAAATCACTAAATTAATTACCGCGACTAGATACAGTTTGGTTTGGTTTGCGGTGTGAAAAGCGAGCTCGTTTTCGGATTTATGTGGGAAAAAGTGTTTATATAAAAAGGACTAAAATGGTTTATACGATTTCGGATAAAGTGGAAAAAGTAAAACAGGATGTTCAGTAAGTTTTTAATGTTTATTTAAAAAAAAATAATTTAAATAAATAACCAAATAAAAAAATTATATACTTTAAAAAAATAAAATAAATTGCAAAATATTCTTTGTTTTTAAAAACGTCTTAAACTTCAATACTTAATTAATATATTACAAATTTCCAGTTTTAATACTATTTTTTGTTTAAATGTGTAAACTTTAAATTGAATTTGAAAAATAACTGTTTTTTGGTTTATTATTACATACATGAGGAAAAACAAATTATTTATGTGTTAATGTTAATTTTTAACTGGAACCTATATATTAAATATTGCAATTTAAAATTTAAAACTCGGTTTCGAGACTAAAATTATTAAAAAATGTCTAAATGAAACAAACATTAGTATATTGTACGACTAGTGGGAAAAAGAGGAGATTCCTCAAGTGTGGATTTTGGTAATACGCGAGTGGAATCTCCTGTTTTGACAAAAAGTCGCACACAAAATTTTATTCAACTACCGCAAAGAATTTAAAGCCAATTTTATTTGATATTTTATCTCACATGTAAAAACTGTCAAGCATCACTTTTTTCAATTTTAAGCCCGTGGACACTAGTCCAAATCGGGCTTGACCTTGGCCAAAAGCCTAAAAATAAACTTAATAATTACATAATTATTTAAATCCGCTTATGTAGAGGGATGTTTGAAATATTTAAAACACATAGAGCTTAGGTATAAAATCGCCCTACATTTGGCAGTCCTATTTTAGCCCGTTTTTCAATCGGTTGGTTGATTTTGATTGTACAACAAAAGTGAAAATATCCGTGTTCAATTTTTACATTTTAAAATGGAATAGGTTTATAAAGGTATATTCAATACGAATTTGATAAAATTACATTTTCGAAAGAAAATAATATTCTTTTTTAAAAGTTATATTAACATTATTATTATTTCACGATAAATAATTTGAGTTGTCGTCCTTTGAGATGTTTTTCACAGGAAAATGTTGATTGAACTATCTATTATTAGGTTATTAAAACATCGACTGCACAAACTTGCCCCCCGAAAATTAATAAAACTACAATACACACCCCCGCACGATTGAGACAGTAGTCGCGAATAAGTTGCTATATATTTTTTTACTAAGCTAAATATATTTTTTAAGATTTTGATAGGACAACTAAAAAAATACAGAAATAATTCTTTTTATTATTTATTAATCTTTGCACTACATATCAAAATCTTTTTACTGCATATAATTTTTTTTTAATGACTACAAATGTTTTAATTGCTGAAATAATAATTGTTTGATTTTTTATTACATTTAAAAATAAAATTATTTTATTTAAAATAACATGTTTAAAATTAATAAATTTCTTTATTTAAAAGAAAAAAACAAATTTATTAAAATATTTAGGTAAAACAAAGAACTTTTATTTTTGAAATTGTATTTAGGCAGGTACTCTGTTTAAATAAAAGTTGATTTCTTTTAAAGTATAAAAACAATTTACTTTTAAGTAAGTAATGTTTAAATTAAAATAAAAATTATTAAATATATTTTTTAAGATTTTATTACAGGACAACTAAAAAAAATACAGAAATAATTCTTCTTATTATTTATTTATCTTTGCACTACATATCAAAATCTTTTTACTACATATAATTTTTTTAATGAACACAGAAATGTTTTAATTGCTGAAATAATAATTGTTTGATTTTTTTATTACATTTTAAAATAAAATTATTTTATTTAAAATAACCTGTTTAAAAATAATAAATAACTTTATTTAAAAGAAAAAACAAATTTATATTTATTTTTGAAATTGTATTTAGGTCCATACATCCTCCGCCATGTTAAATTTTATAATTTTAATATCAAAAACACTAATTTTTTTCAAAAAAGCGTGCCATTTTGGTTTGCCATTTTAAATTTGATTCTACCAAAAACCCAATAAAAAAGACCACAATTTTTGGTTCGCCCTTTTAAATTTAATTTTGATTTTAAATTCGTGATCAACGACCCCAAAAACCCAAACCCAACAAAAAAGTTCCACGATTTTTGGTTAGCCATTTTAAATTTAATTATTTTAATATTAAGTTCGTGATCAGCGACCCCAAAAACTTAACTTTTCTAGTTTTGGGCGAAGAATGAGTCGATTCGGACTAGTGTGCGTGGGCAAAATAGCATTTCGCTTACAGAAATAAACAATCAGGGAATCAATTATTTCTCCCACAGCAGGGCAAAAAATCCTATTTATTAGGGTAAAATAAAATAATAAAAATTTTATATGGACACTGGAAAAAGCCTGTTAATATTTTCTATGGTTATATAAATATTAAAAATACAAAATATACAATAATAAATAATGTTTTTAAAAAATAACAAATTAATTATTTAAGTGGTTAAATAAAAATACTAAAAACTAAAATAATTTTTTAATAAGCTGAATATATTAAAATTATCGACAATAGGTACAAAAAATAATTGTAACCACAATAACAAATACTAAAATTGAAACAACAAACTATTTAAAATTCTGTGCCTTTGTTAAAAATATGTAATTGTTAAAACTGTAATAATTATAATATAATATATAATATTTACTCAAGTATCCATATATGTATGGATACTTGAGTAAATATTTAGGTAGTTTTATTAATTTCTAATAATAATTTGAGCAAATCATTCAGACGTGTATGGGCTAAACTGAGTTCAGATTCAGTTTTAGCGGGCGAAAATACATAGGCATATCATGGTCTTATTCATAGCACTTGTTTTTTTTTGTGGGCCTGTGTATTAAAAACGAAAAAGTTTGATTGTTATGCAAAAAATGACTATGGACAATTGTTTTTCGACAGATTGACTCTACTATAAATAAATAAACTGTATGTAGTAAAATGTATGTTTCGAAATTTTACCTTGGTAGCGACGGCCCTGACTTAATAATTTTAACAATTCTTTTAATAACTAAAGTAAACAAAAATATTTTATCAAAGCTAATTTTAAAAACAAAATTTAGTTTTTTATTTTAATTTATTACAAAATATTTTTTTTATTCCTATACCTTACATAAACATAGTTAATATCTATTAGATATTTACATCATTTAATTAAATAATTATAAACCAAAATTTTCCACGCAACTGAGTTTAGAAACAAGATCAAGTTTAAAAATTAAATTGATAGGTACCTACAAGGATTACCACTAATTAAAATTGGTATTTGGTTTGCAAAGTAACAATTTATTAATAGAGACCGGTTTCTATCCAAAATGGAATTTCGATATATCGTTAAAAATTCTTACCAAAATACGTAATTTTTACCAAAATAACTGTCTAATTATTTTACTTTTTTTACCATTATTTTGTTACATTTAAATTATATTTTTCTGTTGTTTAAAAGTCCGTTTTCTATTTATTAGCTTAAACAATTTTTTCTACTCCCACCTTTAAAACGCCCATTATCGTATATGTTTTCATGACACTATGTGACCTTTTAAATAGACATTGACAAGTTGTGGCTTTATAGTGTTTTAGTCACGGGCTGACGTTAGCAACAGGTTTTTAGTCACGGGCTGAAGTTACTTTTAAGTTAGTTGGCAGTTGCCAAATGTCATACAATCGTTAAAATAAAGTGTAAAATAATACTAAATGTAAAAATTATTTTATTTTTTCAATACAAAATTTAAACATATTGAATAGTTTCTCAACGCCAATATTTAAAAAGTTAATATGAACATTGTACCTACTGACCTTCTAATTTCGCCGGCAGTAAACTAGATTTAACTTAATTTCGGGTGAAGATTCTTTACTTTCACTGTGAAAAACTGCTTCTATATCGGATTAAACGGTTCATTTTCAAGGAACAGATTAACACATAAAAATTTGGTATTTTAAAGGTTCCCAAGTTGGTTACTCTATTGTTTTATATCGCTTTTTATAAATATTTAATTTAAATCAATTTAAGATATTAATTTGTACCTATTAGAAAAATTATAGTATGCAACTTGTTTATTAACTTTTCTAGAAACTCATTTAATTAAGCACTCGCTCGCAAGCTAGGTCGATACTTAATTCATAATATAATATCAATAGTTAGTGTTAACTAATACTTAGCTTATAATATATTACTATTTTTAGTAGTATAATTCAGTTTTAAATTATGTAATTTATGAATGGATCAAGGTACCTACGTCCTTGCTAAATATTACAACTTGTACAGTATTTATATTTTTTTTTATTTGAGCTGTTAGAAAGTAAAGCAGATGCGATTTTGAAATTTTAAGTTTAAGGACGTATATAATATAAATAAATTAAATAAAACTTTATAGAAAAATAAAACAATTAGAAGGTAACAAGTGTTTTTAAGATGCCTGTAAAGTTTAAGACGATTAAAAGTTACAGAATAGACCCCATAAATAGTTATTTTATCGCCAACCGTAAACATTAATAAATGGAGATATAACTAATCACATTTTATTATGACAAAGCGAATAAAAAATAAAACTACTTATTATTGTTTGTTATATTGAAGGTGAAAGTATACCTCACGCATAACAAAAATTAATTCCTGAGGTCGAAAGAGTTTAAATCGAAAAGGTTTGTTGATAATTTGTAGATTTTTAGCAGAATTATTATAAATAACACATATATATATATATATATATTATAAATAACACATATATGTCAAACTGACAACATATATGTTGTCAGTTTGACATTCAGCTAAAATTGTCTTATCGATTTTAGTTTTATTGTGCACATTCCTCAGCATAGGACGTTCGAAGAAAATAGTGGTCCCTTTGATGGTTTTGGTATACTTCCAAAAGTATTTGTTCCATCTGGCTGAACTGTGCATTTGCCATTTGGCGTCTGCTTAGGACGCAGAGCTAAATATTTGTTAAATAATTATAGATTATAGATTTTTTAAATTCATAAATCTTCGAGGCCTGTTGGTCTTGGTTTTAGTTATATAAACAACTTGAATTGTTTCTTTGTGCTTTTTATCACTTACTTTTAGATTCAAAAG